AATATTGAGTTTTGGAAATTCTTTATAAGTTCTAGATACTAGTTCTTTGTCAAACATGTGGTTTGCAAATATACTTTCCCATTCTGCTGCTTGTCTTTTTGTCCTCTTCATAGGTCTAAAATCAGCAAAGGTGTTTTTTTTTAATTTCAGTGAAATTCAATTATTTTTCCTCTGATGGCCGGTATTTTTGTGTCTCTTGGATAGAGAGTCTAATAATCCTTTGTCTAGGCCTAGATCTTGAAGATTCTCTCCTACGTTCTGAAAGTTTTCTGACAGTTTTGTGGTCTTTTATTTTACATTTAAGACTGATGCATTGTGAGTAAGTTTTTGTATAAGGTGTGAGCCTTAGTTCAAGTTTAATTATTTTGCCTCTAAATATCCTCTTCTACCACCATATGATGATAAGGTTATCTTTTCTCCAAAAGATAACTTTTGCCCTTTGCTGTTTTACCAAATTGCTTTTGCACTTTGGTAAAAAAAAAAAAAAGTTGGCTGCATTTGTGGGTTTGTTTCTGGGTTCTCTGTTCTGTTCCACTGGTGTGTATCTCTCTGTCTCTCCAGTAACATGCTTCACAGTCTTGGTCACCACACCCGTGCACTGTGAATTCGGGTATACCGGTTTGTCTCCTACTTTGTCCTTGTGAGCATTGTTTTAGCTAGCTTAGTCCTTGGCCTTTTCATATAAATTTCAGACAAATCTTTTCTGTGTCTACCAAATACCTGGCTGGGTTTTATTTTTTCTTTGTGATAAAATATAAAACATAAAATTTATCATTTAAATCATTTTTAGGTCCCCAGCTCAGGGCTAGTCAGAACACTCACATTGTTGTGCGATCATCCCTATTGTCCGTTTCCTAAACGCCATAATCTTCCCAGCGGAAGCTCTTTACCTGTTAAATGAAACTTCCCACTTACCCTGCCTCCCCAGCCCCTGGCACCCACCGTTCCTCTTTCCGTTTCTATGAATTCGAATCCTTCTAGTTCCTCATATGAGTGGAATCATACAGTATTTGTTCACTGGTGTCTGGTTCACTTCACTTAGCATGTATCAGATTTTGTTCCTTTGTAACGCTGCCATAATCATTTTGCTGTTTCGAATGCCACATTTTGTTCATTCGTTTATTCCTTAATGGCCATTTGTATTGCTTCTGTCTGTTGGCTATGAACATGGTGTGCAAATACCTCCCTGCGTCTCTGCTTTCGATTCTTTTGCTCATATACCCAGAAGTGGAATTGCTGGCAATTCTGCGCCTGATCTCCTGAGGCACCATCGTATTGTTTGCCACAGTAGCTTCGCCATATACATTCTCACCACCGAACCATAGCCTCCTAACCAGGCCTGTGTTCACCGGCAGGCCCCCTGCAGCTTTGACGCGACGCGCTCCGGGGCTCACTGCTTCTCCTCATTTTTTTTTTTTCCAGCCTGAGATCGGAGCGATTCTGCTTTTCCCTACCTTTTCCAGAGCTCAGCTCTGGAGTGGATCGCAACACGGCAGTCCTCAGGCAGCCCCACCCCCCTGCCACGGGTTAGAACGGGGCAAACGAGGTCTTTCCCTGGGGTTAGAGGCTGTGTGCGCGTCGGCCGTTGGGCGGCAGCCAGCCGCGGTGGAAACGGGGATGGGGCGAGGATGAGTGAAAACACGGGGAAATTTCCTACCATTTTTAATGTGGCTTTTTCCTGGTTGGGTGTTCACTTGTTTGCTGTAAATCTTTGACTGTTTTCCAAAGCTCCTATTAAATTAATTTCGCCAGTCTTTAATGTTTTAAGCAATATTTCCACAGGGAAAAGAGGTCTTGCTGACGTCGCTCCCCACGGCTGGGCTTTTGATTGGAATTCTGCTAAAACCTGGCCTATCAGCTTCAACACTTGACGGCTTTCCTAAGGTAAGTCTTTCAATTCACAAACACAGTAAGTACATATCTCCATTTCTAAAAAGATGTTTTTGATTTCCTTCAGCAGCATTGTGTAGTTTTCAGCTTACATGATGTATGTGTATTTTGTTAGGTTGCTATCCAGATAGTTCTCTTGTTTTTAGCCATTGGAAATGATCATGCATTTTCAGTTCATTACTAGTATGTAGAGGTACAGTGGATTTTTGTGCATTGATGTTGTATTCTGTGACCTTGCTGAACTCACCGATTAGTCCTAGGAGTGTTTATAGATTTCTTCAGATTTTCTATAGGGAGCCTCATGGCATCTGCAAATAGCAGTTTTCTTTCTTTCTGATCTCCATGCTTCCCACTTCCTTTTCTTCCCCAACTGTGCTGACCAGAATGTCCAGCACTATGTTGAGTAGGGTCCCAGCCTCAGAGACAAGTCATCTGGTCTTTTATCATTGAGGATAATGTATCTGTAGCTTTTTTTTTTAAGATGAGGAAACTCCTCTGTTTCTGTTTTTCTGAGAGTTTAACCTGAATGATTGGTGAATTTTGGTAAATGCTTTTTTTCCTGTAAGAATTGATATGGCAATGTTATTTTTCTTCTTTAGCCTGCTAATATGGATTACATTGATTTTCAAACACTGAGCCAGCCTTGCCATGGAATAAACCTTGGGATCGTGGTATATAATTCTGTCTACATATTACTGAATTCTATCAGATAATATTCGTTCAAGATTTTTTTTTTTGCCTATATTCATGAGACATACTGGTTTGTAGTTTTTTCCTTTCTCTTTCTCTCTCTCCCCCTCCTACCCTCCCTCCCTCTCTCTCTTTCTGTCTTTTTCATTGTCTTTGTCTGGTTGTGGTATCAGGGTAACATTAGTTTCTTAATATGAGTTGAGGAGTGTTCTCTCCACTTGTGTTTTCTGGAAGAGATGATATACAATTGGTGTTAATTTTTTTTAAACATTTGGTAAAATTCTCCAGTGAAACCATCACAGCCTGGAGATTTCCTTTAGGGGAGTTTTTTGATGATAAATTCAGAGTCCTTAATAATCTAAAGCTGTTTAAATCACCCATTTCATAATGCTCAAGTTGTGGTCATTTGTGTTGTTCATGGAATTGGTTTACTTAACTAAGGTGTCAAATTTATGTGTGTTTACAGTTGTTTATAGTATGCCCTTGGGATCTGTTTGGAGTCTTCGGGTGTCTAGGTGTATCCCGTTTCATTGAGATGCTGGTGATTTGAATCTTGTTTCCTTTGTCAGTCTTGCCAGAGGTCTGTCCGTTTTAATTGATCTCTTCAAGGAACCAACTCTTGCACTGATTTTCTCTATGTTTCTGTTTTGTTTGATTGATGTCTGCTTTTGTCTTAATTATTTCCTTCTTTCTGCTCACTTTGGGTTTATTTTGCTTTGTATTTTCTAGGTTCTTGAGAATGAGAACTTAAATGATTGGCTCTGAGCCTGTTACAATTTTCTAAACTATGCATTTACTGCTATAAGTGCCCCCTCAGCACTGTATTGGCTGTGTCCTACAAATGGTGTGTTGTGTGTTCCTTCTCATTAAGTGTGATGTTTTATTTTCTTTGGTATGTCCTCTTTGACTGGGGATTTAGAGATATGTTCTTTAATTTCCATGCACTTGGATATTTTCCTCTTATCTGTTACTGATTTCTAGTTTGATTCCCTTGTGTTTGATGAAATCATCTGTATGACTTCAATTCTTTTAACATTTAAGTATTTTTATGGCCTATGACATGGTCAGTTTTCTTGTATTTTTTTTCTTTTTTTTTTAACCCTCACACCTGAGGACATTTTGTTTTTATTGCTCTTAGAGAGAGGAAGGGGACAGAGAAAAAAACATTGATGTGAAACTGAAACATTGATTGGTTGCCACCTGTACGTGCCCCAACTGGGGATCGAAACTGCAACCTAGGTATGTGCCCTAACTGGGAATTGAACTCACAACCTTTTGGTGTATGGGAAGACACTCCAACCAACTGAGCCACACCGGCCCAGGGTCTTTTTTGTATTTTCCATGGGCATTGGAAAAGAATGTATAAACTGTTGCTGAGTAGGTTGTGTAAATGTTGAGTAGATTCTTTTGGTTTGTGGTATTTTGAGTTCTATGTCTTTGCTAATTTCCTGTCTACTTGTTTGTATTTGTTGTTCACTGTTGCTGTAATAAATTACCACACACTAGTTTAAAACAACATAAAATCATTATCTTATACTTTCATAAGTCAGAAGCCTGACAAGTGTTTCAGTTGGTTGAGATAAAAGTATTGGTCAGCTCTGGTCCTTTCTGGAGACATTTCCTTGCCTTTTCCAGCTTCTATGGGTTGCCCACACTTGAATCGTAGTCCCATCTCTAACTTGGAAGTCAGCAATAGAGGTAGAACACCTTGAAGAATGTAACACTAATACAAGGTAAGAGGGACTATTATTGTATTTCTTCAATCTCCTCTAGGCTGAGATGATCCAGTAACATCATGTATGAGAAAAAAGATTTAAGCATTATGGCCTGCTATATATTTCTATAGCAACAGATAAAAAGGAGTCATTTTATTATAATTATGAGTAGACTCTTGAAGACTTAAAAGTGTCAAGGCCAAAGAAGAGGTAAGTTTTGGACACTGTGAGAAATAGAAGGAGTGGTACCTCTCGGGGATGGGAATGAAGGGGGTCAGAGAAGGGTCCTCTTTCTGTTTCAACTTGTAAGAGGTCAGTACCCTGGAGGATCCCTACACTTGGGAGAACATGGAGTAGTTTAAAAATGCATCCAGTTCATGTGTGGGGCGCAGGACACAGGCTGACTCTGTGACTGATGGATGGGAAAAGAAGTCTCTCTAGACTCTGCATTCTTTAACCATGCGGAATTTATTGAAAAAGAAAATGTTGAGAGATGGGTTCGGGGAACAGGGGAGAGGGAGGACAGAAGTGTACGGGTAATGGCATGAATAGGGGAGGAGAGAGATTTGGCTACCCTGTCTGACACTCAGGCAGAGGCCCATGTGATTAGTTGTTAACTGGAAAAGAAACTAAATATAAATTGAGCCCATGAGGTTGATGGGGAATTTCTGCTGCCCGAGTCAGAGCCAGAAGCAGGGAAGGCTTCTAGATCCTGTTGCAGAAAGACTGGTTCTTGCAGCATATAATGTGCATCCTCGTCCCGTGGGAGAAGAGGTTCATGGATGGGCACATGTTCTCACACCCCTGAACCATGAATTGGAGTTTTCCAGCTGAAAGAAGCAGAGACAGACCGTGGTGGGCAGGAGGTTCCCGTCTCCAACCTCAGCTGTCCTCCCGTGGTCCCCAGTGTCCACGTGCAGGCACGAGTCAGACCTCCCTTCCCACCTGCCTTTCCTTGCATCGGTTGCCCACTCCCTCTCTTCGGGCAATGTGGGATGCAAGTAACCACGGTCCCTTATTCGGGGATGAGGAGTGAGTCGATGGGTAGAGAGGTTTTGGAACATACTCAGACAGGTCTGGCAACCTGTGGGCACAAACTGGTAGACAATTGCTGATTCATTTTTTCAATATTTACTAAATGCCTACCATGTACTGGGCATTGTGCCAAGTGCTAGGAATATATAGCTGTAAACGAGATAGACACGGTTCTGAGCTTGTGGTCACTGGCTCAAGGAGCAACTCATCCTTCCTTAATAAAAAGAGATAGCCAGTCTCCTGGCCTCCTTTTAAGATATCCTAGGCCTTCTGGGAAGGGTCTCTACCTCTGCATCAGTATCTGGAATTCTTCTCTTAATTCTTGAAAAAAGATAAGGTTTTTCTGAATCTCCAAATTTCTGGGAACAAAAGCTTGATCCCTCCTCAGGCCCCTGTCCTGTGAACCCCCCATCCCCCCACTCTTCCCCCTGAGTGCTAAGTTGGTTGATGTGCATTCTGGCGAAGGTTGTCTCATGAAGTCCCCACGTACCTTCAAAGATCTTCTTCAACATGCACTGCTGGGACTTCTGAGCGGAGCAGACTCCCTCTCCACGAAGACATTTTCCCTGATCACTCATGTAAGAGCATGTGACACATTTCAATGCTGGGGCTGAAAATGTAAGAGAAGCCAGATGAAATTCTCTTGTGTCCCAGGTGTGTAGCCAGGAGTCACATATCTGGGGATGGATGCTGGGCAACAAGTAGCCTCAATACAGTACATTTCGTCTCTTGGTTTTTGTTGGGGATCTGTGGGTCCTGAGTCTGACAGAGTATAAATCTCTCTTCTGTACCAGAGGAAAGCCCTTCATTCTTTCTGCTTCATCTATGATGTCCATTGCTAATGAATCCCAGATTTATCTCTCTTGTACTTTTACTCCAATTCATATCCCCCTTGACTTCCTGGACATTTATAATCAGATGGCCCTCTGCCATGTCTGACTCGATAGGAGCAAAGAGTAACTTACTACATGACCGACCCCCTTTCGTCCTCTCCACCATGCTCGTACCCACAAGCACAAACACTGGGAGTCAGATTGGACTGATGAATAAGCTATGTCAGAATGTTCTAATTTTGCCAACCTGTAAAGAGTCTGTATCATTCTCTATTTTCAGATTGCCTTTATGACAAGGTCAGTTTGTCACAAAGGGCATTCTCTTCAAAATGCCCCCACGTTGCCTCTTTTACTGTCTCCACTGCCCATTCCCTAGTTAAGGAAGTGTAAGAAGAGGAAGGAATAGGGCTTTGGAGTCAGACCTGAGTTTGAATCCGAGGTTTCCCATTTTCCAGCCATGCAATGTTAGTCTCACTTCTCTCATCTGAGAATTTGGGGCACTACTACGACTTATGCAGTGGGGTGAAGTATGAAGTATATATATCTGGTGATAACTTGGATCTTGTTTTTCCTTCCTCAAACAACCCCTTTTTAGTAAAAGCCCAAGAAGTGCCATTGTCCTGAGAACATATTTCTGGATCTAACAAAGTGTCTTCATGCTTCACTTTCCATGTTTAACCAAACAAACAAACAACAACAACAACAACAAAAATAAAACACAAAGAGCCACCAGCTCCAGAGCTAGACATCTCTTGGCAGAGTTTGCAAAGCATTCTAACATAGTTTGTTAAGAGGCAGGTTTAGTGTGGAGCTCCTAAAGGTGAGTCTTCCAGGAGCCCCTTCCAGGGGAGCTGTGGCATTTGTATTTACAATTTCTTATGTAAAGTGAGGTTGGAGGGAATGCTGGCATCTTACACTTGTGTTATTTTTCTTAAAAGAGGGCATTTCAAATTGTTTAACCTGTAAAGAGGGTCTTTAGGAGAGCTGTTTGTGAAGTGTTGGTCCGCTGTTCTCTCTTCTACACTCTTCCCTGAAAACTGGGATTCTCGGTGGGTTGTCCACTACCCACCCGAAGCCAAGGGCCGGCGCCCACCCCAGCGTGGCTCACCTGAAGAAGTGTTGGACGATGGAATGTCTGCAGGCTGTTCCCCCAACTGCTTTTCGCCTGAGTCCTGTTCACCAGAAGCCGGTTCACCTAAGTCATCTTCACCCGAAGCCTGTTCACCTGAAGGCTTTTCATCCAAAGACTGATCACCCAAAGGCTTTCTACCCGGAGGCTGTTCACCTGAAGACTGGTCGCCGGAAGGCTGTTCACCGGAGTCACCAGAAGGCTGGTCACTGAAAGGCTTTTCTCCCGAGGGCTGATCACCGGAAGGCTGTTCGTCGGCAGCAGGCTCACTCCCGGCAGCGTGCTCACTGGAACTGGGCTCGCCTGAAGTGTGTTTCCCTGAACCGTGCTCCCCCAAAGCGCGCCCAACTAAAGTGTGCTCTTCGGAAGGGCGCTCACTTAAAGCAATCTTGCCTGGAGAAGTCACGTACAAAGCCACTTTGCCTGAAGGGTTTGAGAGTGAAAAGTGCTCACCTGAAAGTCGCTGAACAGAAGCTTGATGATTCGTGGAGCCAGGAGGCTTATCAGGCTTGCCTGATGCCCCTGGGATGGAGAAGGAAGAGAAAAGAGATGATGAAGGTGAGAGAAAGTGTGTCCGGGGTAAAGACTACTTTCCTGTGGAGTAAAGCTAATGTTGTGGGACCCTTAGGTTTCCTGTGGACTTACGTCAGGCAGCTAAAGATATTACAGTTGTTGGAGGAAGTCAGCTAATTACCCTAGAGACCATGAAGGACACAGGTATTAATGAAACTCAGAGACTATCCCTGGGATAAAAGGGAAGAACTTTAAGATGCGAAATATTAAGAAATGCACAGAGAGGCCCCTCACTCGTGCGCCAAAACCACCCGAAGGGACATTTATGAGCCTCCCTGAGAGAGCAGCATCTGGACACCAACTCATGTCATCGGGAGCCCCCCACCAGCCTCACGCCAGGTCCTCTGCATGTGGAAGGCCAGAGGAACAGAGAAGTAAGAGGGAGAAAGCAAGTTTTTTCAGTGGCAGGGCAATACTAGCTGAAATTGAGGGTGGAAGGTTTTAACATTTGGACAGGATAACTTTTAAACTAGAGATGACAAATACCTAATGAACACAAAAATTATCAGAAGGAATTAAGACGCCTTTATTTGACCATTTCAAGTTCTTTCCTGTCCTCAATTCCCAATCCATGTGGGCTGGAGACTCAAGGCAAAGTTTCTATCAATTTTAAGGTGAAAACATTCTTTGCTTATGTATCTCTGAATTGAGATTCCTTGTGACATAACATTTACACCCACTTCATGGGGTTGTCATGAGTAGTCAATGAGATAAGTTGTGAAGTGCCCAGCCCCTTGCTTAAGCGCTCAGCCCACTTTCGTTTTCTGTTCTCCCCACCTTACACTAGGAATTACAAAACTCTTAGCTGGCCATCCTCCTCTGGCCAGTCTCTTCTGCCTTTAATCCATTTCATCAGCGACTGTAGACAGATAGATATTCCTTAATTATGAGTTTCATTTTACTGAATGTAGCACCAAACAGAATTTGAGTATTACTCCTTGATTCGACAGAGTAACCTAGAGGAGGGTGGGTGAACTACAACGAGTGAGTCATTAATCCCAGCCGAAAACTGAGAGGAATTACAAGATCTTTGAGACTGAGGTAGCTTAAGGCCCCAAAGTACTCTAGCTCTGTAAGAGTTCTGAATATATATATGTATATAGATGTATGTTTATATAAATCTATATTTATATATTTATATATATAAAATCATCTAACTCTGTGTGATTTGCAGTCTTTAAAGAAATGACTCTCTGAAAGTCGAAGATGAGAATATGTGGATAGAGGAGGAAAGGCAAGATTTACGATAGGAGGTTTTATTTTTAAAAAGTTGTTACAGAATTGTCTGTTTGACTGATTCTTTAATAGTTAGCCGAAGCTTAATAAAGAGATATCTCTACCCTAGAAAGGAAACGTGAAGAGGTGCACTGATTTCTTAGTCATTCGTGTAGTTCGTGAGTCACTGCTTCACCATCTGGCTGTCACTTTACTACCAGCAGGTAGCTACGTATCTACATCTCTGAGTCAACCATTGAAAATCTAAGAAAGCCGAAAACAAAATGTCTGAGAACTGATGTTACAGGAAACACTTTGTCATTTAACCAACAGCTCAGAATGCGTGGCCTCCCTCTTCTCCCGGACGAAGGAGGAGGGAACACAGCCCACCAGGCATGGGGGTCCTGGAAGAGGAAATACGAAACCGGAAGCCATGAAAGAGAAGCGTGTACATCTCGGGCCAACAGCCCTGCTGGGTCTCGGATAGATTTCCGGGCACATTACATTTCTGTCACCTTTTATCTTTCCTTGCCACATTAACAACATGGGATCTCCTGCACTCAGTTCACTGGAACGAGCCTTCGTTGGACTTCCACAGAAGCCCTAGACCTCTCTCCTTTTGTCACAGAGCATCAGGTACAAGTACCGAGTGGCTGAGAGAAGTAGGAGCAGGACTGTGCCAAGCCAGCGGGCTCTGACAGTACAGCCATAACTAGGAGTCAGCTGGTCCAGGAGTGCTCAGAGTAGAACTATTATTTAGCTATTCGTGGTTGTGAGTCAGATTGGTTTGGGTAACTAAGATACCGGTCTCGCTTCTTCAAGGGCACAAACACCTTTAAGAGGCCTCTTCTATATCTACCCAGAGTTAAGGTGGAGGACTCACCTCTGGCAGATCCAAGCAGATAAAGACACATTAGTAGGAGAAACTCCTTCATCTGGATTTTGGGAGAGAGGGGACCTGGTGTGGGTCGCCCAAGAGCCGTGAAGACAAACTGTGAGCTGAAGCTCCCGGTGCTAAGCCACCGAGTCTGGGAATTCTAGAACCTCAGAATCAGCCCATGTTTGCTAACAATGGGCTGTGCTCTGAGGTTCTCAGCTGGGCCCTCCAATAATCCATCCAACTGCACTGGTGCAGGTTTTATATTTGTCATGTGTAAGGTGGTGTATTGGGGCTCTCTGCTCTATTTCTAAAAATCTTATTACCAAAATAACATATATTCTGTAATAAATTTTTAAAGCTATAAACTCTCTTCTTAAAGTGTTCTTGACAGAGAAGTGTGGCTGGCTGGTTGTTTTCTGTTTAGCTCTCTGAATCAGCCTCCTTTTGCCCTGCACCCCAGAAGGCTGACCTCTGTTGATTTGATTGTCTGAGTGGTGGTTGGGTTTGGATTCAGATAGGGTGTAGTCAGCGGGAGATGGACAGGGGAATAGACACGCACACAGAGGGAGGAAGAGAGAGAGGAGAGGAGACGGGAGGGGAGAGGAAATGAGATCGCACCATTCCACCTCATCTGAACTCCTCACACACTCCCCGGGACGCCTTCCCCATGCCAATCACCATCTACAAATGAAGACTTCCCGAGTCCACCAATCTGGCCCACAGACTCCCTTCTTAGTTCCCACCCATAGAGCCGACTACCAGCTGGACATCTCTATCTGGATCTCCCAGAGCACCTCCACCCAACAGTTGTTAATAGGGATTTCGTCATTTGTACCCCAACTCTGTTCCTGGGACCTTTAGCTCAGTACTATTGACTTCTTCCTTGTCCTCACCTCACCATCCTATTAATATCAGTTTTCCCTCTAACTAGTTTTTCAATGTATTCCTCTCACATAATCCAAGTTCAGGCTCTCATTTTCTTCCCCTGGACCACTGTAACAGCTCCCTCTTCACCTCTGTTACCCTCATCAGGACTTTTCTTTTTTCTGTTGCCAAAACTGACTTCTAACACTAAAATCCTGAGTAATAAGGTCCCTCCTAATCGTCTTGCCAAAACTCCAAATAAAACTCTCTGAGGTCAAGGCTTCTGCCGCTTCAGCTCCCACAGCCTCTCCTTCCTGCCAGAGCATGGCTTGTTACCCGATGGGCAGACACAACCGCAGAGCCCCTTGGGGACAACGCATTCTCCATTGTCAGACTGCGGCAACCCGAAAAAGAGAAGACTGTTCAAAGGTGGGGGAATCTTTTCCTTGGTAGTCCATATAGATTTGCCCCTTCTGTGATATGCCAGATCACATCAGAAATAAGGTGAGTGATACTATCACTGGGAATTATGTAAGTAAAGAGATACAGTAACTTCTACCTCTTACTTGACTGGCTTTTCATAACTGTGCTCAGCCGGTGGTGTGCTGAGACCTGACCTGAACTGGCTTGTGAGAGCTGGTTGTTAAGAATTCAGGAAATTTACCCGTGATTGTTGGACACATATTATTAAAAGTAACATATAAATTGACAAATTATATTAGAAACAAAGATACTCAAAAGCTTGTCACTTCTTAATTATTTTACTACATTTTACTATTACTTGTGCTTTTTTAAAGTATATTTTATTGATTATGCCCTTATTACAGTTGTCTCAGTTTTTCCCTTTGCCCCCCTCTGCCCAGTACCCCCTCCCCTCCAGCAATCCCCCCCTCAGTTCGTGTCCTTGGGCTCTGGATATAGGTTCTTTGGCTTCCCCCCTTTCCTATACTATTTTTAACATCCCCCTGTCTATTTCATTCCTACCAATGATGCTTCTTGATCTCTATACCACTTCCCCCTTTCTGCCCCTCCTCCTCCCCCTTCCCCATCCAAAGGATCCTCATATCTATGATTCTCTTCTTGTTCTAGTAGTTTGCTTAGTTTGTTTTTTATTTTTTAAATGCAGTTGTTAATAGTTCTGAATTTGTTGTCATTTTAATATTCACAGTTTTGATCTTCTTTTTCTTAAGTCCCTTTAACATTTCATGTAATAATGGCATGGTGATGATGAATTTTAGCTTTACCTTGTCTTGGAAGCACTTTATATCTACTTTTCTATTCTAAATGTTAGCCTTGCTGGAGAGAGTAGTCTTGGTTGTAGGTTCTTACTTTTCGTCACATTGAATACCTCTTGCCAGCCCCTTCTTGCCTGCAAAGGTTCTTTTGAAAAATCAGCTGACAGTCTTGTGGGAACTTCTTTGTAGGTAACTCTCTATTTTCTCTTGCTGCTTGTAAGATTCTGTCATTAACCTTTGGTATTTTAATTAAGATGTGTGTCGGTGTGGTCCTTTTTGGGTCCAACTTGATTGGGACTCTCTGTGTTTCCTGGACTTGCATGTCTATTTCCTTCACCAAATCAGGGAAGTTTTCTTTCATTATTTTTGCAAACAAATTTCCAATTTCTTGCTCTTCCTTTTCTCCTTTTGGCACCCCTGTGATGTGAATGTTGGACTCCTTGAAGTTGTTCCAGAGTCTGCTTACGCTACCCTCATTTTTTGGTATTCTTTTTTCTTCTTCTTGTTCTGATTCGTTATTTTTTGCTTCCGTATGTTCCAAATCATTGATTTGATTCTGGACTTCATCCACTCTACTGTCATTTCCCTGTAAGGTGTTCTTTATTTCAATTAGTGAATCCTTTGTTTCTAACTGGACCTTTTTTATGCTGCTGAGGTCCCTCACTAAGTTCCTCGAGCATCCTTATAACCAGTGTTTTGAACTCTGCAACCTGATAGATTGCTTATCTCCATTTTGTTTAGCTCTTTTTCTGGAGTTTTAATCTGTACTTTCATTTGGGCCATGTTTCTTGGTCTCCTCATTTTGGCAGCCTCCTTGTGTTTGTTTCTGTGAATTAGGCAGGGCTGCTTTGACTCTTTTTTCTTAAAGTTTAACATTTCCTGTAATACTGGTTTGATGATTATGAACTCCTTTAGCTTTTTGTTGTCTGTGAACCTCTTCATCTGTCCTTTGATTCTACATGATAGTTTTGCTGGATAGAGGAATCTTGGTTGTAGGTCCTTACTTTTCATCACTTTGACTATTTTGGGCCAATCCCTTTTGGCCTGCAAGTTTCTGTTGAGAAATCAGCTGGAAGTCTTTAGGAAACTAACTGCTTTTCTCTTGCTGCTTTTAAGATTCTCTCTTTGTCCTTAACCTTTTACATTTTGATTATGGTGTGCCCTGATGTGGGCCTCTTTGGGTTTATCTTGTTTGGCCTCTCTGCACTTTCGGGACTTATGTGTCTTTTTCATTCACCAACTTAAGGAAGTTTTCCATTATTATCACTTCACATAGACTTTCAATTCCTTGCTCCCTCTTCTCCTTCCAGCACCCCCATGCATAATGCAAATGTTGATACACTTAACGTTGAAGTTGTCCTGGAGGTCTTTAAACTATTCTCATTTTTTCAGTATATATTTTTTTACTTTTTTTTAGTACATTTATTAAAGCTGGGGACAGTGAAACAAAGAAGGGCTTAGAAGCCGCAACAGGAGAGAGCCCAGGCGGGGTGGCCTTGGCTCCCTGAGAAGTCAGAGAAAAGGGGGCCTCGGAGGCAGGTTCAGGGGTTTGCTCTGGATGAGCCGCTGCTCTCGCTGCCCAGGTGGCGAGTCTCTGGTGCGGAGGCTGATCCCGCATGAGCCCGGGAAGCACTGAGCTCCTGCCTCCACCCTCTCCTCACAGAGAGCATCAGAAAAGGATTTCTTCCTCTTAAAAACATGCATACCATTTTTTGGGTAAATATACAGAGGCCTCCTTTAAACCTCCTTGATGGTGGCCGAGATGGTATTTGACTGCTTCCTTAAACCTCCATGGTCTGAGATCACTTTGTTAAGCTTTGCGTAATTTGTACCGAGAATATAATTAGGTTTTATTTTCTTTTCCCAAGTGTATTATAGTAACCATATTAATATATTTATTAAAATGACACATGCTCTCCCACCCTAGGAGTCTGATGTTATCCGTCCCCAGTCCCAATTCATGCCGAGTCCCTCAGCGCCCTACGGATTAAAGTGAGCCTTGTCTGTTTTCCCACTGCAGGAAGGGCCGTGGCAGCAGCAGGTGGGGCAGTCCCAGGCCTGGGGGAGCCTGGACGCCTGGGTGCTCTGGAAGAAGGGTCAGGGAGAAGCTGCAGAAAGTGGAGAGAAAAGAAGCCGCTAGGGCTGGGCAAAGCAGCAGGGCGCAATCCCTCTCCCCCTCCAGAGCATTCTAGGATCAGAGCTAAATGGATTCCCAGAAGAACATTTACTAAACATCTTACTCTTAGCAGATTATAAAAATTATTTCTGATGAAACATATCCATTCTTGTTCACAATATGGAGCTTGTGCTAGAGACCTTCTTTGCCCAAAGGAGCCACCTCTGGCAGCAGGAAAACTGCCTTCTGGTCCTTGGACAGGAGTTTGGAGGCTCTTGGGACCTATGAAAACCTGGGTTTCCCTGGCAGAGTGACAGGGTGTGGAGGAGAGACTGTGCCATGACAAGGCCACTGTCTGTCCCCAAGCCGGACCTGGGCCGGAGGTGAGGTTGCTTTCTGCAAGCCCTCCTTAGAGACTTTCTGGCGGTAACTGTTCATTCTGCTATGAATCAGCACCCCTTTCTCGCCTGCGCCGTGTGCTGGTTCCTGGAACAGGCTGTTGTCCTGACCTGGTCAAGCATGTAACTTCCCTTACCTGGTAGCCTTCACGGACTGGTGCCCATGACTGTTCCCCCCCCCACACACACCCCCTTACCCTACAGAGTTCTTCAGCGCCTGCTGAGCGCACCAGGACCCTTTTTATCTTGCAGCCACCTAAGACACTCCTCGTCTATGAGTTTCCCTTAATAAACTCATTAATTACCGCCCTGGAGTGGTGCGGCTTTTTTTCCTCCTGTTTTTCTCTGTTTCCGGAGGTGGATTTTCAGTCTCAGGGTTTTTCCCTGGGTCTGGGTGTACGAACACAGGGTCGATGGAGTCTGCGGATCTGGGATCGGTTCT